TAGCTCTGAAAGAAGATGGGAGACTTAACCCAAGCAGCTACTGCACCCACTGAATTAAAGCTGGTTTATTTTCCTTTTGCTTCATAATACCAACATAATACTTTTTCAAGGATCTAAGCACTATACTTGCCAGATGGTGGTATAAAAAGCAGGTGTGGGAGGGAGGTTTCCATATAGTCTATGGATTAACTGAACCAAAGCATCTCAACTACTTTAGATTAAAAACAATTTATACATTTTGCTTTCTGTTCAATATTTTCAGTATTGCCAACTATTACAATTTAAAGCATAAGTTTCACAATATTTGATTTTTTTCCACTTAAGAGTACCAGCTGGAATCCAGAGATTGCATGACAACCTGCGCTTTTTTGTTAAAAAAGCGCACTCCTGATTTAAGCTATGTTGGTGATGTATGAACACATGGGGTTGCCAGACTGTATTTGATCTTTTATTTTTAATTTTCACTCCCAGTCACTCTCTTCTGTTTAGCAAGTTTCTAGCCAATTCCACTTCAAGGTTCTCAATCTAGCACAATGCTGCAATGTTTCAGTTGCAAACATTTTAAGAGTGTTTATATTTAAAAGTCAAATTTTACCCTGTATCTCTAACACTTTATAACAGTTGAGGATTTGAATTTACTCCAAGGAAAGCTTAAAATTTTTCAGCTAGTTGATTGCTTTGAGCAGTTATTTACATCTTCCATCAAGTGGCTAGATGAATTCACAAATAAATCTAAACAGGTATTTATGTTGAAGACCAAATCCAAGAATTATTTCAATACTGAGGACAGCCAGCCAAGTTCAGAAAATATTCCATTAGAAATTAAATCTCCACTAGAATTCTTTTTCAGCATGGTCCATTGATTAGGACACCAGATTGAACCTTGAGACCTGGGTTCTATTCCTTCCAGATCAGGGGTCTCAAACTCCCAGCCCGCGAGCCATCTGTGGCCCAAGAACCTCCCCAATGTGGTCCGCAGGGCTCCAGCAACTTTGGGGCTGGGTCTCTCCCTTGGTCCCACCTGCCGCCCCTAGGAGCTCCTCTGGCGCGTCCCCTGAGCTATTTACAATGGCCTGGAGCCCCACTCACCACCAGCAGCGCAGCAGAGCTGAGCAGTTTCTGCCAACTTGCTTCACATATCTGCAGGCCCTTCCTGCAGCCCCAGGGCAGGGCTGTGCCCCTGTGCATTGCCCCCACCCAGAGTGCCCCTGCGGCCAATGGGAAGCTGCGGGGGTGGTGCCTCGGGATAGCAGCACAGGGAGGCCCCATGGCCCGCCCCACGTTGGAGCCCCAAGTAAGCGCCACACCCCCGCACCGCCTCCCAGAGCCTGCACCCTCCACCCCTTTCCCACACACCCCCTTCCACCCTCAAACTCACTCACAAAGCCCACACACCCTCCCCACAACCCCTCCAGCCCCCAAACTCCCTCCCAGAGCCTGCACCCCTCACCACTCCCAGAGCCTGCAACCCCACCCCCGCCTCCTGCCCCAGCCCAGAGCCTACTCCCAGCACCCAAACTCCATCCCTGAGCCTGCATCCCAGAGCCCAACCTCTCACCCCTTCTGCACCCAAACTCCCTCCCAGAACCTGCACCCCACCTCCTACCCCCAGACCCCCTCCCCTACCCAAACTCCCTCACAGAGCCTTAGGCAGGTGGGAGCAGAGTTTGGGGGGGGGGGGGGGAAGGTTCTGGGCAGCATGAGTGACATTACTGGCCTACTGGGAGGATTAAAGGACTGGCACTGGCCCTAAGGTGAACCGGGTTTGAGACCCCTGTCCTAGATGTCTTTAATGGAAACTGGTTTTAGCTAATAGCTGCATAATTCTTCCCAAACCCTGCATTATTTAATCAAGTAACAATGATCTAAGACACCTATACTGTGATTTTTGAAAAACAAAAATTTAAGAAGAAATCAGATTTAATGACAAGGAAATAAGCATGGTAAATCTTTAGTAATCTGATCAGCTTCATTCCAATTGCTATGGAAAGCCTTCTAAATACAAGGGTGAAACTCACCAGTTACTGTCAGTTTCAAAGGGAAAGAGACAGGGCAGCAATTCAACCCTAACCCTCCATTCATAAGGAAGGAATAAAGGTGAGCAAGTGAAATTTTTCTAGTCTCCTCCTTTTTCTTCCTCCTCCTCAGCAGTAGTATTTCATGCCTCAGATTCACAGCTTTCTGGAACTGCACAGTGACTTTTACAATAATTTAGATCATTTAATTCCAAGTGGTCAGACAGCAACAAGTAAATCAAATGAGATTCTTTTGTTTCCCCATGTTATAAGAGAACAGCATAGACAGAGGAAAGAACTGAAAGAAGGAATTTTGTCTGCACAGAATTCTCCCCTCTATCAACAGTTAGGAAAGGAGTTGAGCTCCCCCCATCCTTAATTCTATTTACCCAGTTCGTACCATTTTAACACCACTTCTCTTATAAATGTTTCCAGGGCTTGCAAAGACAAAAACTGCAAATGGGGGGAAAAAAGGACACCAAAAACCCAAATGCAGATATTAATATACGATGGCCTTACAGCTCTGCTGCTAAGTTAGACGTGAGCCTTAAAATAATTCCCATCTCCTCCTGCTATGATCCACTCTAACATAATTCAAATGTTTGGCTAACATGGAGTAAGATATGATCTATTTTATACATATACTCAGGTATTTGTAGATGAATCTATTTCTACTTCTAGCTAATTCACGGTCTTAAGCTTCATTCTTAAATATTTTTTATCTGTATTGTGCCCATCTTGTTTTAAGTCTGCTGCCAGGGAATACATGTTTCCACAGTAATTTTGTAGCAAGTGACCATTCATTTGCCTGGAACATAACAAGGTATCAGGGCTCATTGGAGGCCCACGTTTCATGGACAAGTCAGGTACATTGCTAAGTAAACTTCAGTGTCAATATGAAATTGGCACACAATGGCAAATTCATGGTGCTTGAAGACTATGGCTGGGACAAAAGTAGACATGTTTCAGAGTAACAGCCGCGTTAGTCTGTATTCGCAAAAAGAAAAGGAGTACTTGTGGCACCTTAGAGACTAACCAATTTATTTGAGCATGAGCTTTCGTGAGCTACAGCTCACTTCATCGGATGCATACCGTGGAAACTGCAGCAGATATTATATACACACAGAGATCATGAAACAATACCTCCTCCCACCCCACTGTCCTGCTGGTAATAGCTTATCTAAAGTGATCATCAAGTTGGGCCATTTCCAGCACAAATCCAGGTTCTCTCACCCTCCACCCCCCTACACACAAACTCACTCTCCTGCTGGTAATAGCCCATCCAAAGTGACAACTCTCTTCACAATGTGCATGATAATCAAGGTGGGCCATTTCCTTGATTATCATGCACATCGTAGGGAGAGTGGTCACTTTGGACGAGCTTTTACCAGCAGGAGAGTGAGTTTGTGTGTAGGGGGGTGGAGGGTGAGAAAACCTGGATTTGTGCTGGAAATGGCCCAACTTGATGATCACTTTAGATAAGCTATTACCAGCAGGACAGTGGGGTGGGAGGAGGTATTGTTTCATGATCTCTGTGTGTATATAATATCTGCTGCAGTTTCCACGGTATGCATCCGATGAAGTGAGCTGTAGCTCACGAAAGCTCATGCTCAAATAAATTGGTTAGTCTCTAAGGTGCCACAAGTACTCCTTTTCTTTTTGAAAAGTAGACATGTTATTCCCTACAGTATAGACACAAACAGTAAATGCAGTCAGATTTCTAGCACTGTTAATGATAAAGAATCACACCTGCCAGTCAGTGCCTTCTAAATAGCATTGCCACTGCACCCTCTATTCTAGGGATTAGAAATTTTACCTCATGGCATGCACAGTACATACTTTCCTAAAACTAACTTGTGGTTTTTAAGCTCAAGACTGGCTTAAAAGACTGTTTTCCTTGTGTGATGTGTATTCTTTAACTCACTAACAAGATCTCAAGGCAAGAACAGTTAAACCAACCACGATAACATCCTGAACTCTGCTGACTTACACAGGAGGTGGACTGATGAACAGTCTGAGTGATGCAATTTGCGTATTTTGCCGGGTGTAGGTGCACACATTGCCACAAACTGCTGCAAGCCCCAGTACAGCCATTCAAGGTCGCACAGTAAATAACCCTTTCATTCAATTAGACACACGGATTAAACCAGAGACAGGCAGGCAAATATGCAACTCACTGACATAGCACAAGGACTGTGTCACAACGAGGGGTGGGGCCAGAGAATGATTTAGCAGTTCCAATGTATTGAAATGCGAGTCAACTTTAAAGGCGGTTATAGGAGAGGACCGGAAACGCCCTCCCCCTCACTCGCTGCAGTGAATGACACTTAAAAGGCACGTCTGAGAGCAGTACTGAAAATGCCTGCAGCAGCCCACAGCGGCTTGTGTTCGCGCCTCTCATCGGGCGATATAAAAAAGTTTCTTTACTGAGGTCGCCGACCAACAACATGGTAGATTACGAAAAGGGAACGAAAGGTGGAAACGCAGGTTCCTTGTCACCACCAAGATTCACCTGCTCTCTGGCGTTTCCCAAATTCCCACTGGGAAGAGAAAAACTGCAACCAAGTCAGTTTCACTTTCCTACGAGGGCTGCCGGGCTTGGGGGCCCGGGCGTGCGGGGGCAGCGCGGGCTCATGAACAGCTGTTCTCAGGGCTACGTTTTTAATGGTGATGTCTGGAAACACGTATTGAGACCAGCCCCACCCCGGCCCCTCACTCCCCAGTGCCCACGCAAGGCCAAATTGCGCATTACCCCTGCCCCCGGAGCAGAGGAGCCCCCCCCACCCCACACACCCTGTGCCCGGGGACCCCACGCCCGAGCACCGAGCCCCAGGGAAGATGAGACTCCGCCGGCCCCAGGCTGGCCAGGCGGAGGCGGCTCGGGGGCGGTCACCGGCCCCCACGGAAGCACCGCCCCGGGGCCGGCCTGCCTCCCGCTCGCGGGGCTGCGGGCCGGCGCGACCCCTGGGCGCGGGGCTGCGGTACCTGCGCTGGAAGTCGGGCGCGAAGGGGGCCAGGTAGGGGTCCCGCGCCAGCAGCCGCGGCAGCTCCGGCACCGACACGCCCCGCGCGACAGCGGCGGCCATTTTACCCACGGCAGCGGTCGCCGGCTGCCTTGGCCCGGCCTATATACACCGGTGGGGGGGGGGGGCACGGACACCCCGGCCCCGCCCCCAGCTGGGGGGCAAGGCCCGGACACCGGCTCCCTGCAGCGCCCCCCCGCGGGTCCGCCCCCGCCTCGGGGAGCCGCAAAGCCCCGGCCGGCAGCCGCGTGCGGAGCCCGGGCTCTGCGGGGAGTAACGGACGCTTCAGGACCCCTGGGAGCTGCCGGCGCCCGGCCCCCAGCGCTGGGGAGGGAGCCCTGCCGCGAGCCAGCCACGCCCTGGCCGGGGCCCGGGGAGTTTCCTTCTGAGCCCCAATCGCCAAAAGGCGGCGGGTGGCCGCGCGGGGCGGGGGGTCAGACAGGAAGGGCACAAGCCCCCCCGCCCCGCGCGTCCGTGATAGGGACCGAGCTAAACTTCTAACCGCCCCGTTGTGTGGACGGGCTGAATTTGGCTGGTAGCTACGGACCCCGCCCCCCGGTCAGAGAAGCCGAAGCTCATCACACAGTGCAACGAGGGCTGCCATTCTAATAGCCCAAACCCAACCCGCTAGCCCCGCCCCCTGCGGCCCCGCCCCCCGCTCCCTGCAGTCCCCCTCCCTCCCCGGCTCGCTCTCCCCCACCCTCCCTCCCTCCCTCCCTTTCCCGGGGGCTGGGGCGGGACTGCAGGAGGCTTGAGGACTCTAACTGCGGGTGCGGGCTGTAGGGTGGGGCCAGAAATGAGGGGGCCAGGGGTGGGGGGCTTTGGGGTGCAGGGGGGGTGTAGGCACTAGGGTGGGGCAGGGGGCTTCGGGTTGAGGCAGGGAATTGGGGTGCAGGAGGGGGTATGGGCTCTGGGATGGGGTCAAGGATGAGGGGTTTTGGGTACAGGAGGGGACTCTGGGTTGAGGCTCCCCACCTGTCCTGGCACCGTGATGTGCCCTGGAAGCGGCAAGCAGGTCTGGCTCCTAGGCCGGTGGGGAGGGGGGCTCTGTGTGCTGCTCTTGCCTGCAGGCACTGCCCCCCCGCCCCCTCAGCTCCTATTGGCCACGGTTCCCGGCCACTTGGAGTGCTCAGAGCAGGGGCAGCTCACTGAGCCCTGTGCATGCTCCAACCCAGGAGCCAGACCTGCTGGCCGCTTCTGGGGCACACGGCGGTGCCAGGACAGGTAGGCACTAGCTTTCATTAGAGCCGCAGCACCGCTGACCGGACTTTTAACAGGCCAGTCAGCAGTGTTCACCGGAGCCATCAGGGTCCCTTTTCGACTGGGCAGTATGGTCGAAAACTGAACACCTGGTCACCCTAATTAAAATATATATTGGCCTTTAGTCCCCTAAGATCAGTGGAGTGGAGTCCCCTTTTCCCTTCCCATACACACGCGGAAGACACACTCCTGCCCCTGTAGCTGTACTTTCTGGATCATGCAAACATTTTTGCATAGCAGTAAAATTACACAATCATGTGTTTGCAGGACTGGGGCCTTCCTTAGTACTAGTATAGTTACATCTTGCTGTGACTGCCTTCATCGCACAACAATAAATGTAACCTCCAATACTGTGAACAACAAAGAGCATCCAAGCAGGAAACTGCAAAGGAGGACATACAATGTATCTGTTGTTTGTGGAGTGAGAGGCAAACAAGTCATGGCTGGCAAGCTGCATTTAGGTCAGTGAAGGACATGTATAACAGAAGACATATAAAAGTGCAGTTCCTCGGCAGGACATAGCCCAAGTTATATGGAATATATGCATATAAAACAGTTTGCTCTTCTCCATGTGGTTCCATTTCTGAGTTTTCACCAATATTCTTTAAACTGCTCATGTGCAAACAATACAAGAAAATCTTTTTTTTTTTTTTTAACTGTAAATGACTCCACCTCAAGGCCTCACTGTAAGTTCTGTGGTACTTAAATGTTTGGTACTGTGCTGAGCATACCAAATGCTCAGAGGCAAGCACAGTAGGTACCTGGAGAAGGAGACCTCACTCTCTAGCCCCTTCATTGGGTTACTCTAAAAACTTACAGTATCTGATGAATAAGAAAAGGTTGCTTTACTAGGACTGCCAGAAATAAACACTGCAGTTAGTTATACTAGGCACACAAACAAAAGATGATAAACAGAACCTGTACCAACGCAGACTCCAAGGGCAATGTAGTATGGGTGCATGGAGTTAGAGTTTCACAGACCTAGGCTAATGCTAAAGGTGTTAACTCCAGGCCATCCCTATCTGTAGAGTCAGTCATGTGCTAGCCGGCAGATCACTTTGGCCAGAGCAACTGTAGTCTTGTTCAGGCCCATATACACACAGCACCCTTGTTTGCTGGCCATTTCTGGATACCTACCTGCCCCCCACCACACACACACACACACACACACACACACGATAAGTTGCTTTCCAGCCATCTTTCAGCCCTTCATACCAGTTCTTAGCTGCCTGGACCCTCCACAGCCTGCTGTCCAGCAGCTGCTTCCAGCTTACTGCCACAGTTGCCAGGAAAAACAAGCCTGATTGGTCCAAAAACACACGAAAACTGCAAAACAATGGTGGCTAGTGGGAGGTGCAGCAGCCCAGCCTCAGCCTTCCTCCAGAGCCCAAGTCCCTTGGCAGTACTTCCCTTTTGTGCATTGAAGGGGTTACGGAGCTCTCTGCCGAATGTTTGTGCACTGGGGGGTTAACAGTACTTTATCCAAGCTGGGCCAGAAACAGGATAGATGTAGCCTCCTCTTCATCAATAACGTGTCTGTTTAGCTGCGCTGACTGTTTTCCATGACTCATCAGACGAAAAAATATACTTGTTTTTTTTATGAGACATACTCTCAATGTCTCAAGAATCAGGAGGTTGAACAAATACAGTACCTCCAGCAGCAGATACATCTGCTTTAATTTTTGGAGGAATGGAATAGAATCTATGATATACACAGAAATAACTATAATATCCAGACCTAGCAGAGCAGAGATTTTATTTTCTACATGATTCACTATTTATGCAGGCTCTTCTCCATTTAGGATTATGAGGAGTCTTTGATTTTTAGATTTTATATGATTCTCAAGTCAGCCTACATATCAATGGGCCCAGTGTCTTCATTAGACCAGAGATTTTATTAATGTAATATATCTATATCTTGTCTTCCTACTTCAGGATAATACTGTAACACTCTGTGCAGCATATGTTCCACTGTAAATGAGTCTCCACCATTCTCAGTGTACTGTCCACAATGGAGACCTTAAAGGACAGAGATTCCACTATATTACCAAGGGACAGGAACTTGCTTTCCCCAGGGGCTTCCACTTCATCTGTGTTCTGGTTTAAAGCTTCCAGCAATTCTTATTGGAGAGGTCACCGGCTGCTGAAGCATGGGGAGGAAAGCAGTTCCTGCAGTCCTTGCATGCAATAGAGTGGGAAACAGAAGCTACTATTTTTTAGGACTTTTCCCTTTGTTTTTCCCCATTCTCAGACAGCTCAAGCAGTTCACATAATCATTATCAGCTGTCTGTAAAAAAAATGAGAGAGATTCAAAAATCAGCAATTTGTAAGTGAATACTGGAGATCTAGCTGTGAGTCTTCGCTCCCTGAACATCAGGAACCAGCTCCAAGTTCCAGACTTTTAACATTGAAGACTTTAAATAGAGAAGACATGGAGTCCAAACGTCAGAAGACACTGACCAAACCTTGAACTTTGGGGAAGTTTGAATTCAGATCCAAATTTTGCAACGAGCCTGCCTGTACAATGGATCAAATCAAAATCCTGTGATAAATATGCTGAAAATTAGGAAAATCTAGAACACAATTCTTGACTTAGGCCCATGTTGATAAATGCAAATTAATGCACATTGGAAAACTGACTAGATAATTAACAGAGTTGGATTTTTCTTGGTGCTCTAACAGAGTTGTTTTTGCTGTCCCTATGAAAATGAAAAATTATCCTCACTTCAAAATTGACTACCATTCTAAAAAAAGGCCCGTTCCTAGGTTGAGTAACAGGCTGCCTTAAATTCCTTCTTAAGACAAATGTAAGTATGAACATTTCATGCTTCAGTTCATCATGGTCCCACAAAATTAACTCTGTAGGAACTGTTCATAGAAGATGTCATTGAGCCAAATCCTGCTAGTTTGCTGGGATTGTTTAATTGATTCTAGAACCCAGACCACTAAATGATATCTTTTACCACCTGACATTCCTATCCTCCCTCTTAGCTAATCCCTCTCTCTACAGATTTTTGTGTGTTCTGTTTTCTCTGCTCTCAACAGAACCAAGTGGTTCACTCTACTGAGGGTTAAGAGGCTTCTGGGTGGCTTCTCCCCCTATCTCGCAGCTTCAGTGAGATGGCCAGATAAAGTTCACAGCCCACCCACAAATTCATCTTTGTTTTTAGAGGTTAGAAAATCATCTGCCTGATCCCTACAAAACAGTAGGCAAAGAGAAGCTCTCCTGATATTGTTGCAACTGGCACCTGTAAGCATTAGATTGCCAATCAACAGCACCCCATAATCTCCAACCAAATGTTCTCAGGTTTATAGCCAACATAGTAGTGTTTAGGAAAGGAGCCCGGTGGCTGCAGCAGTAGTTTGTGGGGACGGGATAGGGTGGTTCTCTTGTTTGCTCTGTTGTGAGAGAATTTGCGGTCACACTGAGCCAGAGTTTCAGTAATGGCATTGGATATGTTTTATTGACAGTATTTTCTCCATTGCTGGCCCACAGAGACCTGGAGCCCAATTCTCCACTGTTTTATTCCAATTTTATTCCAGCATAACTCCACTGAAATCAATGGCGCTATAGTAGCATAAAACTAGAATTGCACATTGGAGAATGAAGCCCCTGATGTTTATCATCAGGTTAAATATGGTAAGTAGTGGCTTAGTGATTTTTCAAATTTACTATAGTAGCTGAAATATATAGGCAGCAGAGTAGTTTAAACTGAAGGCAGTTGTACAGTAAGTTCCAAATCTTTCATTCAGCTGCTCAAGTAAAGCATCCATAAATGGGAGGAATTGTGAACATTTATAATGCTGTTGTCCCAAGTCTCATAATACACTCAGCCTGCCATTTAGTCATTTGACAATATAGCATACGGAAAACCTTACACCAACATCACTTCCCCTTTGTTTTGCTTTTGCAAAGTTTGTTGAATTTATGCTCACTTTGACACTGGCTTTGAAAAACTACATTTCATCATTTCAATTTGGCTGTTGGCCACAAGCAAATCAGTTGTGGTGTATTGTTGTACTGGACTGAAGTTATCTCACACAAATCT